TTGAGTCATACAGAAGCCAAACTAAATCGTTTAATTTCTGAAAAATACGACTATCTCTGATATTAAAAACGTACAAATTTGCAAAAAATGGATTTGACCAGTTTGACTATTGAGTGGCTCAGTTGCGGTGGATTTGTTGCTAAATGCTGTACACACGAAGTGATTGAAACAGAAAAATTCTTGGTTCATTCTCCATCTTACGTACCGATTTCGAGGAACACAGCAGTTGACGTGTTAATTACTAGCTAAATTACCTGATAATTCTGTCGACAGCGTGTTGGTGTCTCACATCAGTTTCGTATGTTAGTATACACTACCAGTCAAACATTTCAAATCACGTTCCTAACGAATCTCTCGTTAATTTTATAATTATTATCAACTAAAGAATTCTAATCAATTAATTAACTTGTTTCATATAAAGTTAGTTATTACAAATGCTTCCGAATATCGATGACAATTTTCTTTGTCCGATAGATTTTTGTCTAAGCCACCTTCTTTCGTAATAGAAAATTAAATCGATATTTTACTTAAAGTTTTGAAAATCTTTAAAATCGATTCTAAATTTTTGACTAGTAGCATAGTTCTTGTAGGGGGAGGGGAGAGCGTGATGTTAAAGAGGAAGTCACGTGGACGAGTAGACGCGACGCTTACTGACGTTTCGAGGATATGCGTCTTTTAATCGTTTCATCAAGCTACGTTTGTTTGGAAACCGGATTATCGCGAAATTTTCCATCGCTTGTCGCTCGGAATATTTTAAGCCCTCCAGCACGCACACGGACCCAGTGGCTTTACACGCTCTGTTTTTTCGTTCGATACTGAAAATACTAAACGTCGTGCGTTTCAATTCGAAACACTGGAATATGTTAAAAAACACGGTGATTGCTCTCGTAGGGGAAGTTTTTCGTGGATTAATCAACGATTCGTAAGAAAAAAACCACGGTAGCTGGTTGAATAGAGCGGAAATGTCGTAACGGTGGAGGAAATTTGGCAACGAAAAGGAAAAGAAAAAAAAAAGAAGAAAAAGAAGAAACTGTACAGCATCGACGTTGAAGCGTGCGCAGGAAAAATCGAGAGCTATCAAATTGATTAAAAAAAGAAGGGGTAGAAAAGCCATGCTCTACGTCGACGTCAAATGCACACGAAAATTTCCGGCTGGTACGAAAATTTCTCGTGGAAAAAATCACGCTGCACCGATGTCAAACGCATCTGCAACATTCGTGGTGCGTTCAACGAGAAATGTAAACCACAAATAAAAGTCTACATGTCAATGAAATATTCCGATGCTTTGCAACAACTTCATATTTTTAGTATCGTTGTTTTATTAACAGCGGAACTACCAACTTTTAATGTTTAGAAAAAAAATGCTATATGTAGATTTTCAGAAATTTAATTTAATTTAAATATTCAAAAAGATCCGTACAGTTTTTTTTTAATAAAAATATCGTTATGACAAAAATGTTGAAATTTAAATGTACAAGGGCGTATGGAATACAGATGACATATAAAAATTAGTTATAGATACTTTATGACATGAAATAAATCGTTCTTTTTCCTTTTTAATAAAACATTAATTCTGATAGAAGCAGTTCCACGTTTTTAGTAAACGCAGACACAGAAATCCGAATTTTTATAAGTTTGGTAGTTCCGATGTTAAAACACAGAGAAACGCGAAGTAAATAAGTGATCCAATTAATAGAAAAATTATTCAATCGAACACACTATGATACAAAAATTTGGAATCACTTTCGTGTCTCTATCGAATCACTCGTCAATTCTATCATTAATTACGAAATATTCCAAACTTTAATTCGATAATATCCTTTATCAAAGAATTCTTTCTGATAGCAATATCTTATATCCAAACGTTTTCAAATTCTAAAATTCCACGAAACACGATTGTAGCGATTCCAAATTTTTTGCCAACGATACATTAGCAAAGTTGCCTGAGCAATCGCCAAGAAATCCACAGAAAAATCCTACTACATCTCTATGAAACGCTACGAATTGCAATTACGCTAACGCCGTGCTGGAAGACTTTCTGCCGAATCTCCTGAATATTTCTCGAATTTTACGCCCACTACTAACAACAATTGTTCGAACAATCTTTTCCATTGGGCGAGATTTCGCTAAAAATAACATTTCGACAATGCCGACATGAACGAACGAGCCATGAAAAATCAGGCGAAAACCTGGCACATGTTGAAATAGGTGGCGTTTCGTGGTCGATCACAGGACAGGCTCGCAGAAACGCTTTCTTCGTGTGCGATGAAACACCGATCGTTTTGCTCCGAGATTCGTGTGACGCGAGCGAAAAATTGAAAGAAGAAAAAACGAAACGGGAAACAAAAGAGTATAAACGAGGCTGGTTGAGGAGCAGGGAAACTGGGTAGAACGGTCGAAATAGCGAGACCAGCGAGCGATCGGTGATTAAACATAGCGTGTTCGATAGATTGAGGAAAAAACCAGGTGGTTTTGGGGGAAGTGTGGTCGAAAAACGAGACAGAAAACGAAACCAAACTTCGTAAAAAGGGGGAGAAGGAAGAAAAAAAGAGAAAAGAACGTAACGAAAAGAACGAAAGAAGAACGGGAAACAAACATGGCGAATAGTTTAAGAGGCTTCGATTTAAAGATTGAAAAAAAAAAAAAAAAAAAAAAAGACTCGAAACGAGCACGAAAAAGAAACAGGTGAACAAATAGGCGGATCACGGTGTGGAATTAATGTCGATTGTTAAATAATTCGGGAACAAAGAGACAAAACAAGTGAGAAAACTATAGCCCGCGCGGAACGCTCGTCGCTAGGTCGCTCTGCTGGCTTCCGGTTTGCCTGAGGACCTTTATGCAACACTTTCAACAGAAATCTCTGTAATCTATTAATTTAAAAATCTGTATAACATGCGTGGAAGATATTTCTTCTTTCCTTTTTTATATCTAGAACGTCGAAGTTAAAATTACTCGACCAAAGAATTTCTTTTAAAGTTGAATTTAATAGAATTCTTTGTTTCCTTAGAATTACGAGCAATTGTCTGGAATATTTAATACCTTTGAAGCAGCGTTGTTCTATTTTCGAACAAGCAGCGCGAGGAAACGTAGTTAGATTGCTTGTTTAGTCTTTGACAAATTTAAGATTGAAAAAAAAAAAAAAAAAACAAAAAGACTCGAAACGAGCACGAAAAAGAAACAGGTGAACAAATAGGCGGATCACGGTGTGGAATTAATGTCGATTGTTAAATAATTCGGGAACAAAGAGACAAAACAAGTGAGAAAACTATAGCCCGCGCGGAACGCTCGTCGCTAGGTCGCTCTGCTGGCTTCCGGTTTGCCTGAGGACCTTTATGCAACACTTTCAACAGAAATCTCTGTAATCTATTAATTTAAAAATCTGTATAACATGCGTGGAAGATATTTCTTCTTTCCTTTTTTATATCTAGAACGTCGAAGTTAAAATTACTCGACCAAAGAATTTCTTTTAAAGTTGAATTTAATAGAATTCTTTGTTTCCTTAGAATTACGAGCAATTGTCTGGAATATTTAATACCTTTGAAGCAGCGTTGTTCTATTTTCGAACAAGCAGCGCGAGGAAACGTAGTTAGATTGCTTGTTTAGTCTTTGACAAAAGGAAATCCGCAAGGATGTTTCTTCGTGAAACTTGAGATAAATCTTGCAACGAGCGTGATACCATTAATTTCCGGTGGCGATTAAATAACCGAGGGAACGCGCGTATTTCCGATCCAGCAGAACTGGCCGCGGCGACGCGTTCGCGCGCGCTCTGCCACGCAAACAGGAGAAACACTGGCAAAAAAAAAAAGAAGAAGAAGAGAAGAAAGAAATAAAGGCAATAAGAAAAACAGAAGAAGAAAGAAGTGTGAGAAGAAGAGGAAAAAGAAAACGAGTTAAATCGTTCAAATGTATGCAGGGTGACGAGGAAACAGATAGACAAACTTTGGTACTGCATTCTGCTCTTCTTAGGGATTACAGAAGATTATACAAACACTTCTCCTTTAGACAGATAGATACCTTTTCTTTTAAAGATAAAACAGGTTTTCGCCTATGATGCAAACAAATTTTCACGTTTCGTATTCAGGAAACTTATAAAGAAAACATTCGAAAGATCCTCTTCTCTTCCTGATCTTGTTACAATGACAATAAGCTTGTCATTTTTAGCGTATTCCGGCTACCAATGATATTATAGCGAATTAACTTTTTAAGATATTTCCGCGATTAAACATCCAAAGACGTAAGAAAAATGGAATTGTGCACAAACCATGAAACTGGTCTACTATCAATCTACCAATATTAAAATATTCTCAACGATTTTACAAAATATTTCTCATTTTCTATCGGGGTATTTCAACTTTATCATCGTAAGCTCCAAAAAACCAGACTCCAGTGTTCGTTACTGATAATACGTCTTTTAATAATCGATAAAATACAAATTGTCAAAATTTACGTGCAATCGTTACCACGTTGTTTACCTCTAACAGAAAGAAATGTTTATAATAATCGTACGCACGACTTGCATAAAACTGCAATGTAAACCAGAGACTCTCAAGCGTCGAATATTTCATGTATCCTAACATTCATTTGCATAAACATTATCCGTCCCCAACAAGAGCAGAAGTTTACCAAAATCCTCTCATAAATTTCAACCTCACCCTGTACAATTGTACGCCGATATACATATACAAGCTTCCTATTTCTAAACTGGACGAATTAGGCAAACACCATCTCTACAAAGAAGAAAACCATACGTGTGGTTTGTAACGTATACGAATTACACAGGATACGTACAAAACACCATCGTGTATATCTATATCGTCTCGTACACAGAATTAAAGAATTAAAGTTGGAAATCCTTGGCTCGTTCCAGTTGAAAGAAAACCAAAAACAAAGGAGGAACGAAAAGTAGAAAAAAGAAGAAGAAGAAGAAGAAGAAGAAGAAGAATGAAAAGAACTCTCTTTGCGTCTCAAGTAAGTCGTCGGCTCTCTCAATGGGGACTTACCGTTCTTTTTTTGGATAACGACTTTCGCTGCGACTTTACGGGGGTTGCGTATGCCGAACAACGGAGTTTTGAATGGAGTAGTAGTAGTAGTAGTAGTAGTAGTAGTAGTAGTAGTAGTAGTAGTAGCAGTAGTAGTAGTAGTAGTAGTAGTAGTAGTAGTAGTAGTAGTAGTAGTAGTAGTAGTAGTAGTAGTAGTAGTAGTAGTAGTAGTAGTAGTAGTAGTAGTAGTAGTAGTAGTAGTAGTAGTAGTAGTAGTAGTAGTAGTAGTAGTAGTAGTAGTAGTAGTAGTAGTAGTAGTAGTAGTAGTAGTAGTAGTAGTAGTAGTAGTAGTAGTAGTAGTAGTAGTAGTAGTAGTAGTAGTAGTAGTAGTAGTAGTAGTAGTAGTAGTAGTAGTAGTAGTAGTAGTAGTAGTAGTAGTAGTAGTAGTAGTAGTAGTAGTAGTAGTAGTAGTAGTAGTAGTAGTAGTAGTAGTAGTAGTAGTAGTAGTAGTAGTAGTAGTAGTAGTAGTAGTAGTAGTAGTAGTAGTAGTAGTAGAAGTAGTAGTAGTAGAAGTAGTAGAGGTAGTAGTAGCATAGTGTCGTGCCGAGATAGGAGGAGTCCAAGGCCAGTGTGATTGATTGACAAATATAATAGAGAAGGAGTACGATAAAAGATAGTCAGTGCAACTTCGTTCGGGCTTTGTTCAAAATCAGGGTCGTAAAACGGGGCATTCTTGGGCTGAGCTAAAAAAACAGGGCACAGGGGGTGGGGGAGGTTTGGTTTCCTAAACAGGTGACAGAAGGGCCAAAGGGGGTAAGCTATGGTCGAAGGGCGATTTTGTAAAATCAACCATACGGATAAGGTATACGAATCTCTCTCGAATATCTCGTTTCTCCTCGATTCACGTTAAGTGAAATCCTAATTGGTCGTGGAATCGCTATGGTTTAGGTTGCTTCTGGATGGCTGGACTCTTCGAGATCGATGTTTCCCGATCTTAAAGTGGTTTTTGAGAGCAGGTTCGAGTATTCCGTTGATACATATTCGTCCGTTTGGTGGTCGATAAGCGTTGTAGACTTGTTCGAAAAAGTTTGCTTTATTTGCCAATTTCTCTCATTTATCTACGTTTAGTAGCTAGACGCAGTTATGGTCGTTCGTCGCAAAGATCTCTGTACATATACACGCTACTTAGGATTATGGTCGTCAGACATTTTTCAGGACAGTTTCTGACTTCTAATATCGTAAGTGTAAATTCATGTATATGTAGTTAATCGGATGATCATAATAGCAGATTGTTTGCAAAATAATCGTACGAACAAGAACGAAACTATCCAGTTTCTGATAGCGTTTGGCATAAGGCAAGGAGTTAAGTGTCGATCAATCATACTCAGAGTAATTTTAGAAACTTTGCGCAACTTGAAAATCGCGGACGATGCAAAATCGTCATCCGAAATCTTGTACATTCAACCAGTGCGAAGCAAATGACGAGCATGTCCGGGACAGCTGGAAGGTCGCAGCACATCGATTATCTAACTCTTAAACTATTAACCCAACAAATCCAGGCCCTCTAATAACGCAATAAACTAAACATCTGATGTATCATCCCGATGTATCATATTTGAGAATAACCTGTCAAACACGTGAGACAGGTTCATCCATACTCATCAGGCACCCAGAACCCGCCATTTATCCTCAAACCTACACCTATATCCTACCAATCTTCAATAAATTACTTTCATCAAACGTAATACGTATCTCTGATCGAGACGAATGAGATACGCCGCGAATACGTAGCAAATTGTGAACGATCTGAATTAAAATCATCGATCGGGAAACAGCTATTCTCCAGAGTCCAAGGGGTGTCTTTTAGCGATCGGTGCACGTGTACCGAGGGAATTTTAGGACGCGGCGCGTACGAAACCGAGAAACGGAGATGGAGATGAGAAAAAGAACAGAGAGTGCGCGTGGAAGTTAGAAGTGAATTCTTGGGATAGCAGAGAAGTGATACGAGAGAAAGAGAGCGAAAGTAAGAATAAATCGGCTCCGGAGAACTTGATTAAGAAGATGGTATATGTAAAGTGGTATCGAGTGGACGTTTAAAGCCAAGGACCACCGGGAGGTTAAGCGACAGCTACGCCGAGTGAAAAAATTATTTTTCCTCCAATACATAATACGCGCAAGAATCTCCATCTAAGCTGATAGCACAAGTTCAATGGAAAAGGCTACGTATACAACGCATCGAAGCAAATATTTTTCAACTCAGCATAGTGTAACTTGACTCAGTTTTCCGATGGATCCTCGGCTTAAGAGATCGGAAAAATAGAAATGAAAAAAAAAGTGAGAAAAGAGGAGGTGCAAATATGTGGAGACTGAAGATTAGAACACATCGATAGGTACGTGGCGAACTTTCGAACGTCGATTTCGTGCAAAATCGACGATCGGTTGGTTCACGCATGCGTGAACGCAGCATTCAAGATGGCGCGGTTGAGTTTCGCGTTCGCTGCTGCTCAATACTTTCTTTACGACACTCAAGTATGAACTTGCCAGTTCTTATTGAACAAAATATTCTTGTGTTGTCGTTTCGGCGCTTTTTCATCAAGGCCTTTGCCTTTAGTCTTGTCAACGCGAGATACTAAACAGATAACCTTGTTATAATCAAATAAAAGATAAATAAAGGAGGGATAAAAAATTAATTGATGGCTTAATAAAGGTTTCTTTACTCCTTTGAACTCCTAAAGCTGGAATTTTCTGTTTTAAAAATACTTTGTATTTAGTAACACTGTATCTAGTCAAACTAAAGAGGTTAGAGTGGAGTGACCTTGATCTAGCGCAGCAGATTCCAGTCAGGCTATAATCTACTATTTCTGATGACATTTTAATATTCAATTGGTATCGTTGGTATCGCAGCTGATGCAAAATAGTTTGGCACAAGTTAACCTGTATCTTGCGTTTTATATGATAAACATCGTCATTGGTATTTGTTATACAAGATATAATGATATAAGACAGATTAAAATTTACCAAAAAACTATTACGGCCAACTATTATGACCAAACGATACAAAGATTGATACAAAAAAATGAAAGAACGTTCCTGAAGCACCATCTTGAATGGATGCACCGAATCAAAGGTGACAGAAAAATATCTTCTAAATGATCGTAACGATGCAGAAAAATGGTCAATTCTACCGGTGACAACGACGATAATTTAGATTGTGTGCCATTGAAGTAACGTAAAATATATTTATATTTAATCGAAGGAGTGAAAACAAAGGATAGATAAATATATGTAAAGACAAATAAGAAAGATATATATGTATATATATAGAGAGAGAGAGAGGATTAGAAAGAAGATACAAAAAAAGAGAGCTAGAAAAAAATGTAGAAAAGATCTGTCGTACCTTGATGCGAGAAGATGTGTTACGAACCGCGAAACATGGATAGAGAAAGATGTAACAGTTGAAAATGAAGAATTCGTACGTAGAAAATGCGCATTTATGATTCGATCGAAGGAGAAAGATACGAAAAAAGGAAAAAAAAAGACAAATGAAAAATGAAAAACCGTAGAAATCGCAAAGTATACGTTTCTCACGGAAGTGTGTAAATTTCGTGTATACTTTTCTAGAGAACCAAAAACAAAAGTTTCTCGTTTCTAAATCTTCTTTCCGTTTCTTCGATTACTCTGAAATTTTCGCTCCTTTTTCACGTCTGCGTGATATTTCTTGCTCCTTTACCCTCTGTTCCTCGATAAAAGGAGAAAAAGAGGAACCGAAAGAACGTACAAACACGAAAGGAAAATATGTATATATATACACACACACGTATATCTATATGATGTATGTATATACGTATATAAACGAAGTAAGGGAAAAGAAGAATAGAAAAGACGAAAAAAGAAAATGGTGAGGGGTAGAACAGAAATAGAATCCAATAGTAACAAGAAAACAGATAAGGAGTGAGAAAGAGAGAGAGAGAGAGAGAAATAAATTTCGACACACCGAAACTATCTAATGGAAAAAGAACAATATATATAGCTAAAAAAATCAATGATAAAATATATAATGAAGCTCTTAAAAATGTGACGATTAGAAGAGTCGACTGGCGCTTCTTACCATCTGTCCGTGCAGCGGGTGAAAATGGAAACAGAAAGAAAATTCAAAATCTTCCTTTGAAAATCGAGACTCGCAGGATATGGGACGTTCTTTTTCTTTTTACGATATTCGACTTTTTTTTAATCTTGCTTATCTCTATGAAATCTTTCTTTCGTGTTTATATCTTAATTTCACGATAATTAACATGTTATATATATAACATGTTAATTAATTTTTTGGGGGTGATAGAAAGGGTGAAAAGGGGGATCATAAGGGGAATATTTCTACAACAGACTATCGAAGTTCGCCCTGACGATTTATCTCGTCGTGGTAATGTTACCGCGCGCGATTTTCCTTTCGTTCGATCGTTGTTTCGATCGTTCGTTCCTTGAAACTATTTGTTCTCGTTTTTCTTTCTTTTCATTGTTACTTGTTTTTTTCTTTTTTCGTGAAGCACATTTTGTTTTTCAACGCCGAGTAAAGATGAAATTTTTTGAGAAAGAAAATATAGGTGCGGCCGTGGCTGAGTGGTTACGGTAGAACGAAAGATTGTGATTCGAGTAAAATCGAGAAGAAATAATTCGGAAGTATTATACATATATATAGTATGGAGTGGGTGCAGCTTTTTCGTCTGCAATTCATTTTTCCTTTTCTGCGATTGGCGGATCGAGGCGTGGCGGCAAAGCTTAATTAAAAAACGTTCAGATTCTGACACAAGATAGCCTTTTTACAAGAAGTAAAAGCTTTCGAAGACAATAAAGAAAATTGTTACACTGAGTTGTCTTGTAAAAGTTCGAAATCTGTTTTCGTTTATTTTTAAAGAAACATCGAGACGCGGTGATATACTTTCAAATTTTATTTTCTACTATACGAATGATTCAGAAGTCTTGCTGATCAACTCCAGAAATTGCAATGGAATCTGTATATTATCAGCTTGAGCTAAACGAATTTATGGAAGTGATTTTTGAAACTGATGTTGAATACCAATCATGTACCTAGGCAACGAAATTGAAAATTAAAAAAAAAAAAAAAAAAGAACGAGAATTAAGTTGATCAGTTCGTCTTCTGAGAGGTTCATATTTTAAAAAACTATTTGTATGTTTTTAAGACAACTCAACGACGAGAAGGAAATGATTCGATAATAAGAAACGTGTCGAATTTTTAAAGAGTTTTGTTCCTCACGTCGATTAACGAGGAACATTTTTTATTACAAAACTTTGCCCTTTCTTTGTCACTTAAAGGTACTGTATATTATTTCATATAATAGAAAAAATGTATAATTAAGATAGATAAAAAATTTAACATTCATCAGAAGCGAAATAAAAGTGAACAGCACTCGAAGAATATCCCTCGTAAGCGAAGTGCGGATCGAAGCTGGATCGAAAAAAGTGTGAATAAAATAGATTGAAAAACGTGAAGATAACTCTTGTTTTTTTAAATTCTTTGCGGTCACGCGATCAATCTTCCATTCGGTTGAACGCGACGATTCCCCTATTTCCCTCTCAAAAAAAAAAAAAAAAAAAAAAAAAAAAAA